CAGCAGTTCGGGAGTGAGTGCCCCTGGGTTGGGACTAGCTGCTTGATGTTTACAAATGGGTCCTGATACAAAATAGGTTAAGAACCACTGCTGTTAAGGAATACTAGCTAAATTAATTATTAAATTCAGAGCTTGGTAGCAATTTTATAAGCAAGAGTTCTATAATACTACAAACAATACTGCTTATTAAATTACTACATTAATTCTTAAAATAATTTTACAGTGTGAATCTTATCCTTAATGAAGATCTTACATTAGCCCCTATGATTAATGCTAATTGCTACTGCTGTTGGTGTCCTCCCTTTTTGCCTCTAGCCTAGATGCTGCTGTGACTGTGGAGGGAGTTATGTTCTCTTTCTGTTTTATTCTTTACAGGAGGGAACAAGAAGAACAGGATTCTGGTCTGCAGGGGAGATACCAATGACCTATATAAGCTCCCTTTCTTACACATCAGAAAAATGGAATGACATGGAGTACCTGATGAAATACCTTAATTATGGGGTCACCACAGTGGTGGTGGCTTCAATATTAGCCTTTTGTTTAACTCCTGTTATGGTCTTATTCTGTAAATGCTTCAGTTTACTTTATATTACAATTTATCACAGGAGTTCTAAGCTAAAAACAAATTGTTCTGATGATTTCTGGCATGATGCAAGGCAAACTTTGGCATACTTTTGGGATTTGTATGCAAGAATATGGTATGGTAAGTAAAATTTCCTTTGTTTGTAGCTCTAAATCTGTTTTTTTATTAGGTGAATGACCCCAAAATTTAAATGTTAGGCTTCAAACCCAGGGTTACTAACCCAAGACCATTTTCTTTACTGACAAGCCTTAAACTTTTTACTGACAACTAGCCTTTTTCACTCTCATGTGCTTTATGTTATATGTCACCTTGTAACCTTTCTACCAGACCCTAAATTAGGGTCAGGTTACAAGCTTGTGGGGTGGGGGGATGAGGGGGAATTGGCTGTTGGTGAAAATGTTTAAATTTATCATTCACTCTTTTTCTTGGTTTGGCAACCTTACTTGACTGCAGCAGTGGTTTTACACCATGTTGCCTCCACCATAAGGGGTCCCCTGTTTACCTGCACAACCATGCTGCCTCCCAGCCATCCTACTCTCTGTCCTGGCATGACAGCCCCCAGAGAAGGACCTCTATCTGCATACCTGGCACCCATCAGTGTTACAGGCAGATGGGAGGTAGCACTAGGAGCATTAGCTGTAGCACATGACTGGGGCTTGGGGAAGGAGCTTTGGAGAATCCTGTGAGCCACAAAGTCCTTAGAGCTCCCTTTGAGGTGGTGCTCTCCTGCTCAGACACTTTGGGCTTCTTTACATGTACAAGCACCGCAGCTCTGGGCCCTTTGAAAAGGGCCCGGCGCTGTGCCACATGCAGTTTTATAAGTGGCGTAATGCGTGTCAGTGCACAGAAAATGGCTTTTGAACTAAAATGCCTCAGAGGTGCTTTAGTTCAAAAGTGTACTGCCGTAACCCTCTGTGCATTGACATGCATTTCGCCACTTACACAACAGCACGTGGTGCAGTGTGATGCACGTCAGCTTGTGTGTGGAGCTTACTTGATTAATTGAGTCTGCTCTGAACTGGCAGATATCTGGCATGTTTTGGGAGAGAAAGGTATGTGTATAAATGCCCTACTGTGGTGTCTGTGTTAGAATATGGGCTCCAGCTTCTTTTCCACCATGGAGCTTCAGTTTGCTTCCATTGCTTCATGTTTTTACAGATTCTGTGGGTGGGCATTGTTAGCTTGGTTATTTACAGAAAGCAACCCTGTTCAACCTATTCCAAAAGCAGTACAAGTTTTAGTTAGATGCTGTATAGACCTCAATAGATCATCGAGTCCAGCCCCCTGCATAGGCAGGAAAGAGGGCTGGGTTTAGATGACCCCAGCTAGATGCCTATCCAACCTCCTCTTGAAGATC